GAATATGCAAATCCACGTGCAAAAACAGGCATCGTGGTGTATGCAAAATAAAGACCCAACGGCCGGCACCTGCCCACAGGGGTGAAAAGAGCTTCTGATTTACTGAATATGAGCGGTGACGAAAACTAACATTTTTGCGAGCCACTTGGTAACAAAATTGCAAGAATAAAAGTGAATTTCAACAGATCAGATCGTCTTACAACAGACCATCCCAGCTAGAGGAAACTCAGTTTTTTGGTATTGGTCTGTACTCGCTAACGTTTGCAGCGTGGGCATGTGTAGAGCACATGCCGAAACGTTAACGTTTCGCTGTGCGGCAGGTTGAGCCGTAAGATGCTGCCAAAGATAGTGGCTTTAATCGGGATATTTTTGGCAGGTGACAGGAATATTATAAAATGTATCACATTAGTGCCGACTTCACAGATCAGTGGTGACATCATGCTTTTCCAATGCCCACAAATACGTGTTTTTCACACATTCTCAGCCAAGGCTTCATATGTTTAGCAGTCTAAAATAGCAAATAATTAGGCATGGATGTCGACTTCTCAACGTGATTGGGAGCAATGTCTCGAAACCGCCATAAAGGGACAGGTAACGTAAGGGACGTAAAACTTCTCGGATTTGTCACTTATGATCTAGGTTTTCAACATATATATATATATATATATATATATATATATATATATATATATATATATATATATAGGGGCCAAACTCACCGTTGGAGGTCAGATTGGACATCGGGACGGCCAGTGGCCCGCCTAAGAGAATACAAATTGATACCCGTGTAACTATGCTTAGTTCTAATCGTAAGAATCGTGCCTAGCCAAAGCATCTTGCGACGGACGTGGTCAACTTACTACGCAACGTTTTAAGGCGTCGTACCATTTGAGATATATGGGCTCGAGTGATCGCCACGCGGTAATGCGTTGGGTTCAGTGCAAGGCTGTCGGCTGCTGTTTATTGTGGTCATGCCGTGAGAAGCTGACTGGGTAGGAGAACGTAGCTAGTCATCAGTTTGCTTAAGTAATAGCGTTAAAAAGCGCTGCCGATCTAAGAGGATTGTTGTTTGTGGATACCTGAGCCTAGCCCTAGAGGTAAACAGAGGACGTTGAAGCGATACATGTCAAGGGCTCATCCGGGCATCCTGCTGCTGAGAGGAACAGCGTCTTTGATCGTTTCCAAATCGCTGGTGTAGGTATTTCACATTACACGTTGCACCTCAGACTTAGTGATCGATAGACAGGAGTGAGGTAAAACTCTGTTCATTGTCATCATATTGCATATAAAGATAAATGAAGGTGCTAGAGGTGTTCAAAAATGTTGTTTGCATCTCTTGATAACAAGCGGCACGCATTTTGCTCTAAAGAATCGGGATTATGTTCAAAAGTGCGAGTTCTGCACCAGTAATAAGGATGCGAAGATAGTGAAGGTCGCCAACGTGCCCAGCTGATTGTACGATGACGTCACAAAACCAAAAGCGATATTGTTTTGAGGTGGTTGTAGAACCATGTTATCAGTAAATGTAGGGCTACAGGGATGCATGCAGTTTCGGAGCATACGCAAGGGGGAGGGAGAAAGGGGATGCAAGAAGAATAATGTCTGAGCGTGCCTCCGGAATGCACTTAAATCGGTTTGGGGAGCTGAACCCTACGACATTATGACTTATGAAAAATGATGGATACAGATCATAAGTAAGCATAGGAAACTGCACCCTTGTTGGGAGGCACGATTCCTTTCCCCATATAGAAACGCACTCCCTTCTTCACTTAATAAGAAACTATACGCCTCCTGGCTGATCATGTTAAGTATGTCTTTATCTGATAGTTTCATTGGTTTAGCCCCAACCATCACGCAGTGTTTGATTGCCAGGAAATGATACCCCACTGCAAATGAACTCCCGAAACCAAAATGTTTGATGGCCATGCCGCATTGCACTAAATTTATATTTGTTGTTTGTGGTTTATAGCCTCTGAAAGGGTTGGTCCCAAGTGCCAATCTAGACAATTTCACAATTCATCAGTGACAGAAACGACACTTTTGTCACTTTTGCCTGCCCATCACCTCACCGGTCACTGTGACAACACTGGATGGTAGCATGTTAATGGACCTGCTCGCCGCCCAGTGCCTATCGCTCGCTTATAATCTTACCTATATCGACGACGAGACATACAGTTGCGCATATCTCAGGCCACTATCGACGCGCGCTGCATGCCATGGTATCTAGCGTAGCAGGCAATCCCAGCCAGGGTGAAGTGGATACAAGCTCGGCTACACTCGACTTCCAATTTCGTCAGAAGAGGCGACCGTCGAGATCCCTTCTCCTGTAACCGTTGTTTTTGTACAAGGACAGTGTCAATAGCCCATAAAAATGTTCTTCCGGTCGGAGGAGTGAAGACCGGATGGTTGGGACCTCAAGGACTCACGTGGGAGGTCCGGATTCCCGTTCTGGAGGTAAGACTGTGCAGCCGCCGGCGCTTCATAAAAGGTTCATGACGGCGTGTGGCGTATCCTGTTTTATAAAAAGTGGCCCATGCAGCCCAAAACAGCGGATTTTAACATGCTTCCTTCGAATCCTTGGCCGTCTGTGGTCTCTAGAACCCATGATCCTGATAGTAGAGGCCCACGTGTGACTGCACACATTCTGGGATTTAGTCATCCGCGTATGCTGAGCGATCCCGATAAAAGTACAAGGAATGCACATGTTATGTCGCTAAATGTACACATTGGTTTCAATATTCGGCTCGCTTTTGAGATGCGAAATCAATTATAACTATTTTCGTCTTGCTCTCTATCATTCAAACCATATGTTACATTTATGAGAAATACTGATCAATCAAAGCTTGTTTTGCTCTCTCGCTCTCTCAAATTCTGCCTACTACAATCACTTCTTTCTGTGGTATTGGAGAATTTACATGCGTTGAGAGCTCTACACTTCCCATAAAAAACCTGAGCAGATTTTGGCATGCAAATACACGTGGTCCGAATAATTGGGCTTAGAAAAAATATGATACAAAACTCGCGATTTCCAAGAAGTGTAACGCAAAAGGGTGCTTTTTACAACGAAAAAGACCAGCAGAATTGCACGCAAGAAAAATTGCGAGCGTCGATCTACATAAGTGAAGAAATGGCATGCACAGAATAACATGTACGAGAGATCGAGGCACAAAAGATTGAGGCACGAAGAATCGCGCACGCGAAGATTTGCTTTTAGTCAATTTGCGACGATTTGCGACGATTTCTACGAAGTTTTGTCGTCAGGGAAGTTAGGTGATACCAATCCTTGAGCACAAAAATTACTCTTAGGAGTACTGTATTGCGATTGTTTATGTGGAAGCAGTTTGAGCGACACATTTGCACTGCATTGGTACAGGAATCTTAGCTTATTTGCCAGCCATTTACTACTAACCCCGTGATAAGCATTATATATATATATATATATATATATATATATATATATATATATATATATATATACGGTTCACATATGACATGCTCTGACCCTGAACTGACAACACGCATAACGAGATTCTAAATCACCACACGTTCACCAACTTTTACAATTGGTTTCGCGACCAATACGAGTGGTGTGAAATGACGCAGGACAAAACAGTCACCCGTTTGGCGCCGGTTTCAAAGCTCTGAAGCAGAGTCATTATTAGCAAACCTACAGGCATGTCCTGGGCAACGCTATGTATCGTTTATATTTGCATCGTACTTTCCCGTACTCAAAGGTTTGTGGCGGACATCTTCATGAGATATTTCTCCTTATTATATTTATTCATCGTTAAATTTTATGGGCGAATGAATGGTTATCTTGGTGTTACAAATCTTCGTGCGTACCACTGGTGACCCAGCGCTAACAGCTGCTAAGCTCAAAATCCTCATCACCCAAGTCGACAAATCGTGTAATCCGAGCCCGCAAATGTCGACTGCCCTGACTGCTATACATTGACATCGATAAAAGCTGCGCCTTCATTATTTTGAAATTTTTGCTGTGCATAGAAACTACGCTTCATGCCGTTATTTCGCACATTAATACGGGGCTCAGAGAAACACGAGCGCAATACATCAGGATGCATTGGGTATTGCATTTGTAATGTCATACATCTAACAACTTCATTTGTCTTAGTAAAGTGACAAGTTTTTAGAACGTTAATTCATGCATGTTATATATAATCTGCATGCATATGGCAAACCACAAACACACACACACACACACACACACACACACACACACACACACACACACACACACACACACACACACACACACACACACACCACACACATATATATATATATATATATATATATATATATATATATATATATATATATATAATATGATAGACATCATAGTTTTATTCATAGACACACACACACACACACATATATATATATATATATATATATATATATATATATATATATATATATACAGCACAGCACAGCGTTCATTGACGTCAACGGTTTTGCTCAGGACAGACGGCGATGTGGCCTCGCGGCATCAGTTGATTTTGAGTTGTGCATATGGGACACCTAAAGCTCCATCTATCGTGTATTTGACGTCAAACATGCAAGATGGGGCTGATCAAGAAATGGTACGGGGGCTGCATCGCCACTCACCTGCTTCGAAACCTACGCCACGGGTCACATAAGACTTCTCGTGGGTAATCTCAATGCCATCCACCCATTGCATGGAAGCAGTCAACGCCTCAGATGGCAAGTTGGTATTTTCGCATGTGTTTATCGCCTTGGATGATTATTTCACTTCACTCCTCATTCATTTCCACCACTCACCGATCCTGCCCCCACCAGCCGCGGCAGTACCCTAAATTCTAAGCGCAACTGGGTGCCGCCCGACCTCTGCCTGGCTGCCCCCCGGAGCAGGGGAAATAATTCATGACCCCATGGGGCGGCGCGGACGACCCCAGGTGGCGCTGGCAGCGCAGGCCGCGGGGGCCGCGCCGCCGCCGGAGCAGCAGTCGTGCGCGCGGTGCCGGGGCGGGGGTACGCGCGGCAGCACGGTGTTCCGGTGCAGGTGTGGCCGAGCTGGAGCCGGGGGAAGAGCCGCTGCGAAGACGGCAGGATCCGAGACAGGCCTCGGCGACCGCGGCAGGCGAGGCTGACGGACGGGGTGAGAGACCGGCGTTAGGTGACTCAGCTGCGTCCGTGCGGCTTGGGGACCGTAACAACGGCTAACCGACCGCGAGTCGGTCTCAGGGTTTTCCGCCCAGCTCCGGCTTCAGATCCAGCTCCAGTTTTGATGCCAGCATAGGCTCCAGTCCAGATTTAGTTCCAGCTCCAGCTTCTCAACCAGAGGCAGATTTAATCCAGCTAAGTACTGAACTACACTCTCAGCTCTATTCTTACCTTCAGCTTTGCATCCATCTGCAGCTCTAACTCAAACACCGGTATATTTCAGGCACTCTTTTGCCCCTCTCAAGTAGCTCTCTTCCAGTATTAAGTTGTTTGGCACGGTTCAACGATAGTGCATTCTTTGCGCGTTCCCAACCACGATGGCGGAGGAGAGAGAGGCATAGGAGGACGTAGGACCTAGGGGGAGAGAGAGGGTGCAGCCCGAATAGGGTTAATGACTCTGTCAAAGCATTTGCCAATCCTGAAACTGAAGCAGACGTATCTGTCCTGGTCCTAAATTATCGATGAGCCCTTTTGTTGGCTCAAAAACGACAGTCATGGTTCCCTGTTCATCCCACTGACGAGGGACTACGATTAGGCTATTGACTCGGCCACTGCTTCTCCTTATCACTGGCGTAGTGGCAACACAACTGAGCACACCTGATCTGGAAATGAGTCTGCAACATTTTTTTGGACGCTAGTTATGCATTAATGCTTGTGGTGCTGATGAGCTGCCTTAAGTGGCTGCCAGCAATCGGTCTAACAAAACCCAGTAATCGTATGATGAAGGACATGAGTGCCGTATTATAAAGAACTGAATAACTGGTAAACGAGGCACTTAATATGATGATTATGTACTGCTAAGCATTAGGCATTAGGTCAGTTTTTAATGCTGCTCGAATAAATATGTGGGCGTGGCTAACATGCTCAGATCGTGTCATATTGTGGCACAAACAGCTCGTGGTGTCCAGGTAATGGAAGTAATCGTTGACCACCAAGTAAGGAATCACAAGATGCAATTATTAGCTCGGGAACGGCAAGGTACGGTGAGGTAAGGACCGTGTTGGTGAAGTGTAATGACAATGTTGTGCAAATGCCATCGCACAAATAAAATGGTCCCCATGGACGCTACGATCTCAACAATCTTGCACAGATTCCAGGGGAAGTTGACGCATAAGATGTATGAGAGGTAAAGGAGTTGCAGGCAAGTCAGATGATGCATGCACAGTAGTCGACAGCGTTCGTGCGGTCCGCGAAAAAGTGCAGAAGCGCGGTGGGTGTGTTTTTCCTAATCAAAAGCTTGATCAAAACACAATGAAGTGGTAAGGACGGTGACAGAATTGGCAGAAAAGTAACAAAATAAAGGATCATGACACAATCAACCTGCCAATCAAATCAAGTCCCAAGTAGCAGTTTGTGGGCTTCGAACGTCAACACAGGATGGAAAGAAAGTTATGTCCTGATTTGACTTGCCCTTAGGACAAAAATGCCAGGTCACGAAGCCAAATGTGCCCAAGCAAAAATATTCACCAAACAATGAAGATCTATATCATGCAACGTTCACACCTGGCCGTTGTTCAAGGAACCCTTTAAGGCACGTGCCCAGGTAACTCTCTCTTCGGAGAAGGCAGAGTCAGACTTGCCACCTCACGTATAAGCCTGGCACACGCGTCCGCTGCGATCTTGCGCGCCACCAGGCCGATGGCCTTGTCGATTCGCCGAGAACTTGATGGCTTTTCTTGCAGAACTGGCATTGCAGGAAGCCCCGTAGATAGGCATCGGGGGGGCGGGGGTAGATCTGGAGAGTGAGCCGACTGGAGATGGCCGGTCTCACGGCTGGTTGTACACTCGCTGAAGCGGTCCTTTAGCTGGAGTCGGAACTGCTGCTTTTCGCGGGTCCTTTCTTTCTCCCGCGTCTTGCTCCAGCTGCTTCCAGAAGCGCTCCAGCATCCCAACGTGCTGTTCTTTCTTGGCCGTGGCCGCAGCGGTATCTCCTCATTGGAAAGCCGGGCCAATAAGGCCGCTGGAACGCATGATGAAGGACGGTGTCACCTTTGGGCTGTGTGACAGGCTTGCCAGCACGGTGACTGAAAACTTCGGGGCCCCATTTCGGCAGTTTTAATGTTTACGGCTAGAGCCAGGCGGAAGTGGGTCTCCTCGCCGAACTAAGTAAGGTTCAAAATCCGAGGATCAAGTTCAGCCCTCGTCTGCTGCCAGGTGGCAAATGCCACCCATCGTTCTTTATCGGATTTTGCCAGCTTTTGGCTGATGGTCACTACGGGGAAATCGCTTGAGGCAATTTTCTAGAATTTGCCGTACGTTTGTGCAACTGGTGCCAACTTCATGGGTCATCTTGGGAATTCATTTTTGATCGGTCTTACGTGATGACAGACTCTGATTTTTGCGATGTCTGCTGCTGATTTTTAAGCGCATTCTCCAACTTTGTTCTGCATAGTTCAGTTAATACCCGTCGCGCGAAAATTTCATCGTGCGCTAAATTCATTTCGCACAAGAGACGCGATAGGTTTTGAAGGCTAGTCTGAACTGCCTTTGTGTTACGACGTACTTGACTTTGAAGCGTGGTCTGGACTACCCTTGTGTCTCGTTGACCAGCACACGCTTCTTCCTTCGTGCCGAGCAGCACCATAAAAGCCCTGCGTCATGAGCAGCACCTTAAAGAAACAGGTGAAGGCTTCATCTGTGTTCTGGGGAGGATCAGAGATGTTTCGAAGAAGCGGAAAGATAATAAACCTTGACTGAGCTAGGACTCAAATCAGAGGAAGCAGTGTCCTCAAGTGCGTTACATCGGATTACTAACCCTATCCACTACCCATTAAAAGCAAGGTGTCCTCTTTAATGGGCTCAATCAATTCCTCAGACAAGACGTTCAGACACGCGCCAAAGGCGTTTCGGTGAACTCAGCTAAGTAGGTAAAAGTGGTGTTCGTGACGCCCCTTTGTAAGGTAGGCTTTGCGGGCAAGGCCCATTGATATAGCCCGATATCACACAGGCACGGCAGTTCGCGTGATGAGAATGTCACCGCTCACAGCGTATCGTTTGAAAAGTGGTCGCTGAAAGGGCTACTTCATTTTATCTTAGGCTACACATCTGTCATATAGACTGTCCATGCCTCATGCTATCTGTTTTCATACTTTTGTATCATGAGCAAAGCTCGTGGCGTTCATGAAGGTTTCAAAGCTTCGTGGTTCTCGTGAGGCGTTAAAACAGCCACGTATTCTACAAATTATGCGGGCCTCTCATGAATTTCAAACCAAGTCCGTATCTCACGCGCCACGTCCAGCTCTAATGAGATTAAGCAGCATCCCGTTTTTGTCTGCGCAGAACATCGCCACATGCTCTCGGCGGCTTACGTTGGTGCTATGTTTTTATGTCAGCCTGACACCCCTCTGTTTTGACCGGTGGCCGGGGTGCGGAGCACAAAAACGGCCTCTGACCCCTTCCACAGCGGCCACGCAGGCCAGACTAATCGGTGCGCAGCCAGCCTGACCAGGCCGCTGCGAAGCTGCTGGTTACATCGCGGGAACTCTTTCTGGTAGGCATATGTGGAGACTTCTACGTCGGTGTTACTTGCCAGAGCCTGGGGCCTTTAAATTCTGACTTGGCAGGGGGTGGCCAATGCCTGAAAGAGTTGTTCGTCACCGATGCACGTGGAAATTTAACGTGGAAATTTAGCGTCGTAGACTCAAAACAGTCTAAAACTAAAGCAAACAGAACCACAGGTAGCTCTGTATGTGAGCTATCCCCGTCTGTTTAGCCCTAACCCGCATGATCGCACTCGCCGCCGCGTTGACCGGATTGCCGAAGCACTGACAGCTGTAGTTAGTCTGATCGCCCAGCCGGCCCGGAAGGCAGCCTCGGCACAGCTGTTGCCTCCTGCGGTGTCCGCAGAGCCGTTCGAGACACAGGCGCGTGCGTCTGCCGGGACCACGGCCGGGCCGTTCCGTAAAACTCAGGACCGCACACGAGGGTAGTTACTCCCCGCCAGGGTAGCAGGGGCTCTGATCCGACTGCAGTGCAGTGGATGCCTGTAACGAGTGCCTCTTCCCCAAATGCTCATTTTGTTTTATGTTTCCTTTCCCGGTAACGAAGTGAAACGACCCGAATGTAATCACGCCCCCCCCCCCCCTTCTGTGTTGGAAGCAGCGATCATTTTCAAGCGAATGTCATACGGATAATTATAAGTGGTACTGCTGTCTTTGAGCTACGATAATCCGGAGGTCTGAATTAAAAGCTGTTCCTTAAACCAGTGGCTTATTATCCATCAGTCAAATGTTTCGAAGCCCGCTTATGCTCAGCTACGCTGCCGCACATGGCACCGCTCGGCACCGCACAGTCCACACCTCCTTGACCAAAGCCCCGGTCATGTCACTTGACTGTCTCTCCCCGAGTTTTGAAGAGGCGGACGGCGGGAGGGCCACGGTGCGTCACAAACGCCCTGCCGCGAGCGTGTTGTGTGCGCGGCGGCGGGACGGCGGCGGGCGGCGCCGTTTCCGCCGATGAGGCGCGGCCGCACCTGCCCGTGGCTGCACCTGTCGTCGGGACTAATTAGCCCGGCGGATGGTGCTGGTCAAGGAGAGGGAAGGGGCGAAGGCGGGGGCTCCGCTTCACGCTTCGTGAAATCGGTGATCACGGGCGGCTGGGGGTGCGCATCGCGCCCAGTCACGCCCTGCGTGCCGGCAGCGGAAGCTGAAGACGGCGGTCGACATGCGGTGAAGCTTTGCTGTCTCCTGTGTGGTCGGGGATGGAATCCGTGGCAATTTAAGTGGAATAGGCTAATCTGTTAAGGTTACTTAGCGCGTGATTTCAGGTTTTGAGAGGTACACCTGCAGCACAATACACTCCAATTTGTTATGGAGGGAGGCCCAGCCCGGTGCCAGCAATGTCCCATGGAATTGTTTGATAAGCTATGCATTATGCATACGACCTGTCTCCCTTACTTCCATCAAAATCTCACCATCTTTCCGCAAGAGGGATTCCTTGGGAGCTCAGGAGACGGCGGCTGTGAATAGAACGCAGCTCGGGAATGCGCCGGCGCCGGCTCGGCCGACTCCCACCAGAGGCGTCACCAGGGGCGTTCTCTCACACCAGGCGCTGGTGTTACACGCTCAGCGTCGCCCGGAGGCCTCTCAGCGGCCAAATTACCCGGCCAGGGAACTGCACGCCATGCAGACATGTTGACGAGCTCTCGCCCTCGGGCGCCGCTCCACGGCCCGAGGAGGCGCCTAACAAGCGCCGCGTTACACGCGCCCGCATTTTACCCCGGAGAGCAAAAACTCGGCACCCACATCGTCACCGGCCGCCACCCGGCCGGCCCGACCAAGGTCGCGCCACCCCCGGGAATTAATTTTCATTTTTTACGACAAACAACGCCCGATGTAATGATACGGCTCGGGTGTTTGCCGCCCAGGCGCCCGGCATCCCTCCCCCCCCCCCCCCCTGCGCCGATGGTCGACAGGGCAGGCCGACCCCCACCGTGACCCGGCTCGATCGCTGGCACCGAATGCCGGCTGTCCTCCGACAAAGGGCACGTCACGGAGGCAGTTTGCCGACGTGCTATCAGCCGGGCGCGCAGGCGAGCCGGCCCCCGACAGCACCATTTGCGCCGGCTTAGGGCCGTTTAGCCGCGGCTAGGCGGAACGCGAGCGGATCGTCAGATAGCGGCCGGAGCGATCACAATCTGCGCGTGCATTCCGGACGGGAGTCAGGGAAGCTGCCAAGGCGCTGGGAACGTGTGGCTGGCTCTCGCTCTCGCCCTTTGCTGAGAAACTGAGGTTTTTGCTGGGGAAGTACGGAGAGCAAGAGGAGCGTGCACGAAGCGCCATGGGCGATTTATAGCCTCATCGCCAGAGCCGCGTAGTAGAATATGAATCAACGTGATTAACATAGGTCTGGCCGGCGCAACGTTTAATGAGGCGTGCTTCATACCTCATTAGCAGGCATTATGATGAACGACGCTGTCCGTTTTTGTGAAGTCGCAGTGTCTCTGCGACGGACGTTTGTCTTAGTGCGGCAAATCACTCACGGAGCTGACAAGAAGAAATTCTGCCGCCGCGAGCGTCCCCAGGTGCCAATCATCCTGGCCGGTATGCATTTATTCCACAGCGAGAAACACGCCTCGCCTAGATCGTATTTGCATTTCTAAGTGATGTACAATGTACAGTTAGTTTGATTCGTGGTTTTGCTCGCGGGAGCGCGGGAATCAAGCCATTAGCTTTGCTGTGGGGCATTGAATAAACAATTTGGGCGGAGAATGATGCCGCTTGCCGCCTCCTTTCTATTCGCCTCAAGTTTTCCAGCGCTGTCATATCGCATTTGGTGTCGCCGGGATATGAATTAAGGTGACGTCGACGGCTTGAATTCGGAGATTTGGTCAAAAAGCTACTACTGTGTTGTTGTGATCACGATTTCGCATAATGAGAAAAACGTCCTGAAGTATTCCATTCGCCGATGGACCAAGCCGAAGTTTTTTTACCCGAACATAAACATTTACGAATGGAGACAGTCCTGCTATCTGCATAGGCGAAGAGTTCAAAATATTGTTGCTTGCACAACAGTGCGCTAGAGCAAGCCTTCTTCCAAACAAATTCGACTGAATTAAGTCCAAACTTTTCGCTAGGCTCTTCACGGGAGCGAGCAACCGTATCATGATCTGAGCAAAGCTAAACGACACCGATGCCAATCTCAGAAGAGAAATGCTATTTTCACCAGCGTCCTTTTTCTCTATCATGGCCGAACAAGATGACAGCCCGCCCAGCCAGAGACCCTCCCCCCACAAGTCGGCACCGCAGCCCTAACAAAAACGCGTTTCCCCTCGGGTCTGAAGCGGGCGCCTCTCCCACCCGGGGCCTGCTCCAGCCGCCGGGAGCAGGTCGCACCGGCGACGGCAGCGCCTGGCGCGGCGCGCGCCGCCCGTCCTGGGCCGCCCGGGCATCAGGGCTGACGGCGCCGGCCATTAGGTGGTCTGCGGCACCATTATCGGCCGCCCAGATGATGGTGATTGGGTGACACGGCGGGCCGCCGCGGGCTATGCGCCCCGCCCCGCCGCCGCGCCGCCGCTGCCGCCGCGCCCGGCCGTGGAGGCAGCGCGCCCGCCGCCCGCCAATGGCTCAATCGCTGAGTACAGCGGCGAAGCATTTTATTCTGCTGCGCGTCCCATAGGTCATCATAGGTCATTGGTAAGGCGGGCTGCGTGGCGTGTGCACGAAATGCGAAATCAGGCTGGAGTGTAGCGGTGATGGGAGGTTGAGATGCTGGACTCCGACTTGAACTGTGCAATGGCTTTGGTGCCAGCTGTTGCGATATGAGGTTCCTCACTTATTGTGCACTCTAGGTACGTTGAAGTGCTGGCTGCGGTCTGGAAGTTTTTGAGTCACGCACGATGCTTGTCAGTGCTACGCTCCTTTTTAGTTTATATGATAAAAATAATCTGCCGTATGAATCGCTTTTTTGACAGCATGCAGGTGAAGCACATCGTTTCCACTCTGTCTGATTTCTATTTCGAGATAGCCTTGTATTATCATGATTATTTCATTAGAACTCTCACTCATATCATGATGAATCCTTAATTATTTATGAGATTGTGCTGGCCTAAGGGGTCGAAATCGTGAGAGGCAAGCGCCAGACGAGAGTCGAGACAATTGAGATAACAATGCCCGCTCTACTGATCCGTGGTTTAGTAATGCTTTGGACCTATCGTGATGGGTATTTGGCACGCACGATTGTAATTTTACTACACTCATTACCTCTGCCTTACATACCATCCCATCGCCTGGATTTTCGTTAGATACTTAAAAGGGCGAGGCGTTGTAGCACACCGAGTGTTTTGTCAACGATTGTGCGAGGGTGCAACACAGTTCCATATATGGGGGCAATAGTATCTCCTATGCAACGCCATTGGGAGATTGCGGGACTAAAAACCCAAACAATTTATCCCTAACGACGCTGTACATACATTTCCCTCAGAATGATAAGCAGTTGGTGCCTGGCAAAAGCTCACGTGTCACATACGCGTCCGATGCGTAGTGCCTTTCTGGCTCAGTATCTTTCCTAACATGGCAGATGGCACGTGGGTAGTGGGGACAAGTGCTGAAAATGCTGCTTACTGAACACTACAAGATAACAGAAAGCCGTGAGCCGCTGCCGTCTGAGAAGCATCCCATCGAGGGCAGAATGATGTGACCTGACCCAGACCTGACCCAGATCAGGCTTATGCAGTTGCCCCGCCTTTGGCATAACACCTCTCTGGAATAAATGAGGAGTGCAGAAGCAGCACGTGCTTGCTACTTAAGGCCAATCGGTATACACCACAGGTGCTGAAAGGCTCGGTCGGTGTCTTAGTGGTGATTCCGTGCAGCTGGAACAGAGTGCATTACAAGTACAGCTGGCTTGCCCTTTTTCAACACAGCTGTAGTGGTTGTTAGGCTTATGCACTGTAAGTCAATACACGCGTCGGAGTAACCCCGCGGCTACACGCCTATCGCCTCACTGTCATGGTGCTGGTTCCTGCGCTGGTAAACAGCCGCACCCCACCCCATTCCCACTGCTGGGCGCAGGTCATGCGACCCTCATGTTTACGATGAAGCTGTTGTCCCCGATGTTGTCATTATCGCGGCGGGAGGACGACGCTGTCGCCGATTCGGCCGATCGGCACCGGATAGCACGGGCGGTTGTGAGCGGCTGCGCCTCCGCCGTACGCACAGCGCTCGGCCAATCGGCGCCGCCTGTTGTTCGCCTCAGCTCCCGCTGACTGGGAATGTGAGGTCTATTGGCAACGCATTGTCACGCCCCGTCCATCACAACACGCCCGGGCGCTCGTCCCACGTCCGACAGCGGCCCCCAGCTGGAATGGATTGGGCGGGCCGGGTGGTGTACGGGTGCGGGTGGTGATTCAGAAGGGCACGGGGTTATGGCGCGGACGGGTTGAGATACGTCTGTGAGGGATTCCTGTTGTGGACTGGGCTTGCTGACGTAGAAGGTGTTATTCATTTCAAGCGGACTTCCTATTCGGAAGCGAAGCGGTGTAAGGGCAGGAAACACTACACTTTTTGTTATCAGATACAGAAGTCCGCTAGCGCTATTTTCTGTTCCCTGAGCCGGTGTGCCGCTGTTTTCGTGCACTTTTTTGTTCGTAGTCTCCAATTGTCAATGATAATATCTGTGCCGGCGCCTGCGCCGGTGCACCTTCATTTAACGCTGTCCTTTCTAAGCCGAAATAGTCTTATTTTCCCTGTGTCAGTTTTCCATGAGACCACAGTGAAGACCGCGATGTGTTTCAATACTCGCTCAACTAATGCTAAAAACTCTGTTCGCAGTTGCTGTCATGTTTAAATGGAAAATACCGACCAGAAAAGGAGGCAAGCAGGAAAAACTGAACAATGAAATCAACAACAAAAACGCTCGAAACAACGCAAAGAAGAGGACTGAGAAGGAACCTGACAACAACAGAAGGTAAACTGCTCACCACAACGTGTTTCTTGCACACTACTTTGTTGTCGTTTGGCAGTGGTCCAAACACGTAAATAACGTTGCGTTTAAGTTCAGGTTCGGAGCATGCATAGGTGAACTAACGTGAAGCTTGCGTGTGAGTCGTATGGGTTTATCGAACTGGGAAGCGTGAGCGTATGTTGCACGCCATGGCACATTGCACCCAACCGAATCCGAGTGACGCGCAAAAACTGTGGTTCGAAACTGACTACCGTGTACACGCGTGCATGATTTCTTCCGGCATAAGGGTTGCATTGGGCTCATGTTTTTCCAAACGCGACCGCACTTCGCCGGTTAAGGAAAAGTGTCTGAGTACTCGTGCCATGGTGCTGTAATAGACGCAGCCGCAGTCATGAGTAATTTTTTAGTCACTGATTGGTGCGAATTTCCTTTTTATTCAAAGCGAGAGCGATGATTTCGGTGCTGCCGAGCCAAGTCACTGACATGACTAAGTTACATAACGTCTGTGATGTTTGCTGGTAAAACATTTCCTAATTTTTTTACCACTTCCAAAGCTGACCTGTTTGAAGGTGGTATCAATTTCGAAAGGATGAGCCCACCCGCTCCCCCACCCCATATTCTTATTGACATGTTCCGAGTTTTCATCTGCACCCTGTGATTGATGTCGGTAGATTTGGTAGTGAGAAGGTGGGAAACAACTTAAGCATCGTTCTCAGCAGCACAAGTATTTTGCTCGATTGTGTTTGGTGCGTAGCGTAGCTTGGCAAATGATACAGTACACCGGTTATAAATCGCTTTATGTCGCCAGACGCCCGTAAACCTGAGCTTGTCTTTAAAAGAATTGCTAGGCACTACATACTGAAGATTCGGTATGGTTTGCAGTGGCGCGACTTCCGCTGGTCCATCTGAAAAGTTGGGTGGGAACTATTCAAATTGAAGAGACCATTTGAGGCTTATTTCCTCTTTCACCACCCTCATTGAAGGCAGGCGGACGTCACGCGGCCCTTGACCTCGGCGAAACGAAGCTCCACCCTCGAAGACGATCGCTCTTGCTAAATCACTGAGGCTTTGATGGATCTGAATTTCACTTCTGTTTGCCCAACGCCACGTTTGGGTACGGCTAAGTGGATAGATTGGAAACCGAAGAGGGCGCAGCTCCGACTCTTACTGACCTTGCGGAAGGCTCGCACTGCCTGCTGCCAGCTAGGTCAGGTGGTTTTCGTCATCACACGCTGGCGTGAATGATGTCTGGCTGGAGGTGGCGTTTTTGGCCGCCTTTGAGGCACTTGATCACCTTTGATCGGGAGAGGTACTACGCATGCGCAGCAGCCCCAACGGTGGCCCAGTATATGACGTCGGCTCTCATTTATCTGCGGACTTTGGCCATTGCCGTCATACTTCACATGCCGCCAGAAGGCCCTACCGGGCGGAGGCTGCTGATGTAGTTCACATCGCGCGTCACCGACATCACAGTTCACATCGCGCGTCATAGCGCGTCACGACATCGGCAAACCCATACCACACACTGTCCGACGTCTCCCAGATATGGTCAACGTAGGTGCTGGCCGATAATGTATAGGTTGGGAATGGCCCTGATAGAGTCCGCTGCAAAATGAGAGACTGATAAAATGCTCGCGATGCGCTCTGGTCGACAATTTGGTTTTGATAAAAGTTGAAATTAAGTGTCTGTCACGGAAGATATGCGTGAAACGAGTGGAATCTCATCGGTGGGACCGAGGTGATGGCGTCATTATCCGCGAGTTGGAACAAAAACTCACCTGTCCCTGGCTCATGTGCTAAAAAATGTGAAGAATCCACGCGCTATTAGTCGCTGAGACTTAAACTGAATAAAATGTACGCTAAGATTACAATCCATGCACCATCTGGTGGGAAAATTCCCAAACACTCGCAGTTGTGCGAGACAGGCGTCTTCTGTGTTTCCATGAGCATTCATTCACATGCATTGAACGCTAAGCAGTTAGTACATTCTAAGGCTCGTTAGAACCTCGGCACAAAGTTCATCAGGGCTTATCCGGTGTCAGTTTTCATCGAGTCTTTGAGAACTCATGTTAGCGTTGTTCACCATGGGGGCCAGCAGACTTCGAAGCGCCACCGACGTGTTTGGCTGAATGGCTTCCGCTGCGTGAATGCCGTCCGGAGATGGATTGGCGCGCGCGCGCCCGGAGTTCGATGAGTGATCACGCGGAACACGGCGCCGGCCGCGGGGCGGCGCCACTGCCGCCGGCCGGGGACAATGCCAGCCTATCGCGGTGGTATCTGCGCCCACCTGTCGCCGCCGCGCGCCCGTGCGCTGACCCGCCGGTCAGAGGTCAACCGAACTGTGACAGATGTGGGACCGCCTGCCAGCGTCAGGATCGTTGTCATGGCCGCGGGCCGCGCCCCGTCCGGCGCCGAAGGGTGGGCGGCCGGTGGCGGAGGGAGCGGCTGCGCGAGGAGGCGGCTGGGGATGGCAGACG